GGTCATACTGAACTGAGTTACCAGTAATTCTGTCAGATGAGCATGTCAGAGCAAGCTTCCATAGAACATGGTTCTGTCTGGAGTGTGGCTTGTATGGTTACTGCGCCCAGTAAGAGAGTTTAACGATCTGGAATTCGGAAACAGTTTCCCCCTAGTTCATGTTTCTGACCATAATTTTACAGTGATTACATGAATTATCACGTGAGGGACTGTGTGGTGTCTGACAAGATGTCATATAGCAGAACAGATTCTCTTTATACTGGCTTGTTTTGTAGATCTCATTGACAGCATAAATGAACGCAAATCTGATATATACTGTACTGCACCTTGCTGTATGGAAGGCTGTATAAGAGGCTTAATTTGTATTATATAATATAGTGTATTGACAAATTTAGTGTGAAGTTACAAAAACATATTTTAAAATATATGCACAAATGGAAGATTTAAGATTGAACTTTCAGTCTTAGCTCTGTTGATCCACTTGATTCCCTGACATTAATGTTGCATTAACGCTAGTCGTTGGCATAGAATTTCTTCATTATTTTTTTTTAAATTGCCAATGCCCCTTGTGAGTTACATTATCTAGAACTATTTGTTTTGATGCTTCCTGAATTAAAGTACTGCTCAGCAGAGCTAGACAGAATGCATCCTACAATGCCAAATGAAGTGGTGAAAGAGATAAGATACTGTCGGAACACCTACTGAAGACAGGTTTCAGAGTAGCAGCCGTGTTAGTCTGTATCCGCAAAAAGAACAGGAGTACTTGTGGCACCTTAGAGACTAACAAATTTATTTGAGCATAAGCTTCCGTGGGCTACAGCCCACTTCTTCGGATGAATAGAATGGAACATATATTGAGGAGATATATATATACACATACAGAGAGCATGAAAAGGTGGGAGTTGTCTTACCAACTCTGAGAGGCCAATTAAGTGAGAGAAAAAAACTTTTGAAGTGATAATCAAGATAGCCCAGTACAGACAGTTTGATAAGAAGTGTGAGAGTACTTACATGGGGAGACAGATTTAATGTTTGTAATGGCTCAGCCATTCCCAGTCTCTATTCAAGCCTAAGTTGATTGTATCTAGTTTGCATATCAATTCAAGCTCAGCAGTGTCTCGTTGGAGTCTGTTTTTGAAGCTTTTCTGTTGCAAAATTGCCACCCGCAGGTCTGTCATTGAGTGACCAGACAGGTTAAAGTGTTCTCCTACTGGTTTTTGAATGTTATGATTCCTGATGTCAGATTTGTGCCCATTAATTCTTTTGCATAGAGACTGTCTGGTTTAGGTCATCATCATCATAGGACCTAATCACATCAGCCACGCCATCAGGGACTCGTTCACCTGCACATCTACCAATGTGATATATGCCATCATGTGCCAGCAATGCCCCTCTGCCATGTACATTGGCCAAACCTCTTGGAAAGTTCTGATTTAATTAAGAAGCCAAAAACTTAATTCAATTGTTAGGCCTCCGCAGCACTTAAAGTTCTATTTTGAAGACTTAAGTGACCTAAGAGGTCTTGTGCTGGCCTTCTCTAGAAGGGTATGGAATTAAAAAAAAAAGAGTAAGCATGTCAGCATATGACTGGCAAACTGTAAGGAAAATCTTTTTGAAATTGTGATTGATACCTTGCCAATGGCCTTTCACTATTGGAGTTACAGGCTATTCCCTTCCTAATAAAAGAACAAACCAATCCAACGTGGTTACTTGTCAAACATTTTATTTGTCATTCACACTAATTATAATATTGAATTTACAGAAGAAACTGTGGTACAAAGAAAGAAAGAAAGTCTCCATTAGAACTAAGTTAGCAGTCCAGCTGCTCGGCATGCTAGTCATCATGAATTTTCCTGTAGCACTGGATACTGCCTTCACTATGTACAGTAAGTGTCTACTTTGACGCGGTATCTAGAGACATCTTGTAGTGGGGGAAATCTACTCCATTTTCTTTTCCTATCTGGTTAAAAAAACAACAACAACAACAAATAAACCACCAGTGCTTAAAAGTTTCCCCTTCTGAAAAAGTTCAGGGTGACAGTTTTGAAGGAAAATGTGACCATTCCAGTACATTGCAACATCTGTTTTGTAAACATATCCAGTAAATGCTGAACAAATATACTCTGATGCTGTTCTGATAGGATCACATTTCCCATTGCGTTCTCTATCAGATTTACCATACAGTCATTTCAGACTGAAAGTTTCTTTTTTTAAATGAAGTCATAACTGTCACAGCCAGAAAACCACAAAGAACCCACAGTTTTTTGCACATTCATTTCTCCCCTACAAAAAAAAAAAAAAAAAAAAAAAGAAGTGAAGTGTGTTTGACAGAGACCATGCTATAACTGTTTATAAAAGTGAATAAAATGTAGTTAATTTTGAAGCCTAAAATAACTAAGTTGGAAAGAAACAAGCTTCACTTCAGTATTTTGCCAACACAAGGATAAGTTCATTAAAAACACAGAAAAATTAAAAAAATGCAGAGTAATTACAAGCACTAACAATATTTTGCTATGTAGCTTTTTAACTCTATTTACATACATAAATACAAGTAAGTCTGTTGATGCAACTCTTCTACAATAAGGAGAAAAAAATGCCAAGTGATCAGTACTGACCAAGCTAAATTAACAAAAAATGTTACGATGCAGGTAAACAAGAAAGTATTTTGCTCAAATAAAAAATAATCTATTATTTCTGAATTTTCAAACAAATCAATGAAAAAGGTCACTCAGAAAATAATCATGAATGTTTCAAGGACACAGGCAAACCAGGACACATATCACCTATCTCAGACTGTGGGCCACTTTCTGGAAATTGCTTGTCTCCTTTCCAAAAAATTATTTATCATAATTATGCATAAAATCCTCAGTAGCAGTAAGACAGGATGGGCCTGACTGCCACTTACACGAAGGACTGTTCTGGCTGTGCAACGGGGGGGACTTAGAGTGGGTAGAAATGTAATTTACAGAGCAGTGGAAAGGAGCCTTCATGCAAATGAGAGTCAAGTCCTATATTTACTCAAGTCTAATAGTACTTTGACTGCTAAGCAGGGTTGTTTCAAACATGGTTACAAATTATATTTTGCAAAAGGAACATTCAAACCCAACCCTTGGGGGAAAATATGAATAATTGTCTATTTTAGTGGGATTAGAATCCTGAGCCATCTGCAGGGGCAGAACAGTTTGTAGGGAAATGGAACTGTCCTTTTAGGTTTAATTCAACAACAGGAATGATAAAACTGAATTAATTTAGAGAGGCACGAATACAGGAAATGTCTTGCTTAAACTTCCTTCTTTCACCTGCTAAGTGCTTTTGTACAGTCTCAAAGGTATGCCACATATATCGTCCTCATCATTTGTTGATGATCAAGACAATTCCTTAAAAACAAAGTACGTGGCTACTGGGCATGAAGGAGGGATGGTTTTCAAAAGACAGATGTGGTTTGTTTTCTGGCCAATTTCTGATTTTTCACGCGGACTTGTGTGGATTCTCCAGTAGTGCTACAGTCTAAGCAGTGAAGAAGGACTTTTTTCAAGGTCACTGGAGACAAGAGACACTGACTATGCAAAGTGTCACAAAGGCTGGTTAAAGTTCAGTATGGACACTGTACTTTCAAAATATACTTTAACACTTTGTGTCTTCCACTTCTTTTGTTCTTAGCAAATTTAATATATAATTATGTTGAACTAAAAGGACAATGCCAATTTATGTATTTTAAATAATAAGAAAACTTTGAGCTTCTACTGATATCCTTTGAAACATTCCCTCATTTTCTGCATGAGAATAACCTTATTGACCATGTTAGATGCTTCAATTTGTAACTTGTTTTATTCCAAAGTGCTTCTGCATCTGACCAAAACAAAGAAGCAAAACCTAATATATATATCTATATATGTTTATATAAAGAAAACTCGAAAAACAAATTGTTTTAAATAAGTCCAGCTGTTTTGCTGCCTGCAGCCAAGGATCTTTGTAATTCAAATCCTTTAAAAAAATTTTTTAAACATCAAACACTGATCTGAAGTCCTGCTTTCAAATACTCTTCTGAGTTGACCTGCAATTGTTTCACTAATTTAAGAGGTACATTAAATAACAATCAGATCATTTTGAATGCACACATGTCAACATCAGCAGTTTGTAATTAATGAGTAGTACAACAAATGCATTCAGACCAAACCCTCCAATAAAATAGTGCCTTAAAATTTACAGTGACATCTGATATGTTTGTGCTGTTAACGATGGGCAACAGTGATGATTCCATAATAGCAGATTAGTACTATTACAATGCATTTCAAATTTTCTACAGGACAGAATATTCTGTGCACCAGTTTTGAATATTCCTCTTCCTTCAGAACTATATGATCACAGAACTTTTAAATTCCACTTGTTTGATATTCTGGTTTCCAGTTGCGCCTGATAGCACTTTTCAGCTCCATTTACTTGTGATTTGTTAATTTGCTTTATTTTTTAGTACAGTGGTATGTACAGTGTTGTGGTGGAAACTTTGGGTGACATTCTGACCCCATTTAAGTCAATGGCAAATCTCCAATTGACTTAAATGGCACCAGGATTTCACTCTTGGCATGCCACCTACATGCTAGATTCTGTCCTTGAATGAATACTTGACTCCTACTAAAGTCAATAAGAAGCCCAGGCAGGATCAATAGCAGAATATGGCCCTATATATTTGGTTGAAGAGAGATGCTTGACACCATTGTGTCTGCTTTACAAATTATATACTTCCACACTGCTGATCCTTCAAGTGACCGTTGGTGTTGAAAGACCAGCAGAGGAAAAGAATGACTTTATAGGGTTTCAAATGGCAAATTAAATAAATGGAGCAAAATGTAAACAATATGGCTAGATAACTAGACAACACGTTACCCATCGTTATCTCAGCCTTTTTTCAATGTTATAAATTTAACTTTGGCTGCTACCAAAAGAAAAGAGCATATTTAAATAATAATAGTATCAACAAATAAGGAGTCTAAACATCAAGCATAAATATTGAGGAAATCATAATAGTACAGTAGTTGAAAATGACCTAAGGCTGTAGCCATTGCATTACACAAAGTCCAAAAGAAAAAAAGTTAAATTACCTCATTGAAAAGGGGCTGATTCTTTCAGTTGACAAAGCAATAAAGAAGCAAGCATGATTTTTTTTAAAAAAATGAAATCTTTTTGCAATATATAAGGTGCCAAAAAAGAAATAAAAGAAGTTAGATGCAAAGCAGGATGAGTTGCATCCTTAAAAAATTAATAATAATAAAAAAATCCATATTCTTTGGAATATATAACTTGGTAAAAAAGTCAATGTCCAAGATATAAAACTTCTCATTCACAGCATTGCTAAATCAGAAGCATTCACAGTTTCCCTCTGGGAATCTTCCTATACTTCCTTATAACTAACACGTCCATATGATTAAGTATACTCACTAAGATTGTGTTAGATTTTAAGTCTTAAAATTAGAAGTGAACTAAAGCACTTTTTAGGACTTTGGGAGACCTCCAAAATCAAGGATGTTTGGAGACCACTGGTATGTCTATCTACCCACCTTCCCTATCTCTAGACCAACTTAAATGTTCTCCTTTCCAGAAGTTCAGCCCTTGAAAAAGGCTACTTTTCTCGAATGACATCCCTTCACTGATTGGCTAACACCATGACATCATTCCTGAAGTACTGACTTTTGGATCGTTTGCTTCTGAAAGTGATGTATAAACATGGCAGTGCCCACAGGCAAGAAAGGTATTTATGGGATACCTATGGGCATCAGCAGATAAAAAGCACTTTAGTCCTGGCCCATCTCTACTTATAATTAATTCAATATGGTCGCCATACCGCTTCTTCCAGCCTTGCTGTGGTGCCCATGTTAGTAGGGGAGTTGCTGTGACTACCTTCTGCCTCCACCACATCGCTTTGGTTTGGAAGATTGGGGTTGAGGAGAGTAGACCCTGTGGAAGCATTAGTGCAAGGAGGGAGGATACGTGGGGGTGACCGATCTCCCCCAGACATCATGGAGAACTGGTATGACCCTGCTGATGTCCCGTAATAGAGATGGTAAGAAGGTGAGCTGGTCTGAAATGGGCTACCTTGAGACTGAGAAGAACCAGGATATGGAGGAGGGAGATAAGTGTGATATCTTGTGGCAGTGGTCATAGCAGACATACCAATTCCTATTCCTGAACTGACAGGCGTTGGGGTGTAGGTGAATGCTCCAGGATAGTGCATACGAGGATCAGAAATTGAAGGAAGAGTGGAGAATGGGCGATCAAGTCCCACCCTGGGATCACTGAATGCTGTTAGGTCAGAAGCACCTAGTTTTTGAGAGAAGAAAAACAAATCAATTTTAAATGGAAAGAACAAGATTTTAATGAGTCACGAAAGGACAATCTTTCTCATGGCGGATCAGTGATAGGGTATTGGTAACACTGGCTATCTGAAACTTTTGAATTCATTTCAGTAAAGGGGCAATTAAGAGGGATTACCCTTGCCCTATAGGTTTTTATTTGTTTGTTTATTTTCATAGCACTTACAGCCTACGCAATATTTACAGCTTCAGAGTGCTCTATAAACATTAACAAAATAGTCATCACAGTGCCCTTGTGAAGTAGAAACACGATAGTAACAAGTAGTTTTGGAGAGGGGGAAACTGAGACACCAAAGCTAAGTAATTTGCCAAGGACCACACATTGGCAGAGATGGGACCTTGAATGCAGGTGTTGCAGGTTTTCAGTCCAATGCTTAGTCTCTTGTTGTAACTGCCTTATTTGTCTGTCTTAAAGATCGAAAGCTCCTTGGAGCAGAGTCTGTTTTTAGATATACATGTGTGTGTTCTGCACACTACAACTAATAATAGTGGTCCACATTGTCTATCAACCTTACTGAAGTTAAGAAAAATCAGGCCTCTTTAAGGTGTCCGAAAGTTGGGCACTGAAAAATGGAGTCTCCTGAAATCATTACTGACTTTTGAAAATCTTGGCTTTAAGAAGTCCATAAAATGACATCTATTGCAGATTTGTTTCCAAGCAGGATACTTTGGGATTAAAAGACTGAAGTGGTTTTTTTTAAATGGAAATGTTTCACACCTGACTGAGCTGAACATCTGATATGACAGCTAAACTCTGCTCCCATTGGTTTGACACAGATGAAAGTGGGCTCCCGCCCACCATCGCCTCCTCCAAAGGGATTAAACAACCTGAATAGATAATGGCCTCCTTAAAAGGGTCTTCATCCTGACTCAGATGAATGGAAGCTGTCAGTCCTCTGATGTGGCAGCTATGTATTATCAAAATAACAATAATAAGAAAACTTTCCCGAAAACAACCCTTTTCAGACAAGGGGTGGATACTGTATGAAAGGAGTGTGTGTGCAGAAGGAAGCACTAGTATGTGGAAGAAGGAAAACAAAGCAGTCTGCTCTGACTGGATTGAAAGGTAGAGCAGACATACTACTAGTGTCAGGTTCTGAAAGCTTGTCATAGCCAGATTTCTTCAATGGGTTTCTAAACCTTTCTTAGTTCCTTAGAGTGTTTTGGTGTGCAAGTGTGGGTTTTACTGGGGGAGTTACAATGATACAAAGAGATATTTTATGTTAATACGGAAGAGTATTTAAAATATAAATAATATCCCACAAACAAAAAACTTAATTACAAACCAGAAAGGTTGCTTGAAGGCAAAACCCACCCAACTAGACCCATGAAAGCAAGGAAACTGCAAGTGAAAGAAGCACTCAGATATCACACTAACTCTGGTCACTGACAGATTCTGCATCTCCACAGAGAAACCACTTCCCCCTCCAATAGATACAGAAACAAATTACACCCCCCAAATTCATCTGATGTGCTGTAATGTAAAACCTGTTCACCAATCTCACAGTTTCCCACAGAAAATAACTCATCATACAGTAACCTCATGTGCGTATTTCTATAGTAACTATAAATGAATTTCCTTGCGGTCAGAGTTAAGGTTTTGTAATACTGTCTGAGTGAGATGAACTCAGGGCATGTGGTGTATTTCTTTATCTGTTGGAGTTGTAAGTGATTTTCCTGTGATAATGTTATGCTGGAGTGGTAAGGGAAGATGAAAGAGTGTTCCCTTTACATAGACACCTATACGCATGTACGAACTGGAAAAAAATGGGGGCAAAATAGGTCTTTAAAAAAAAGAGTTTAAATTAGTTTTCCTACCATCTTTAACACACACACACACAGAGTATGTTAAAGCTGGTCAAAATGTTTGGTTCCAAAACAATTTTCAACCAAAAAATGTTTTTTCATTTGTAAATAAAATCTTTCCTGGACAATTTTAGTTTTGTTTGAAAATTTCTGGTTAGTCAGCAAATGACTTTTTTCCCAGTTTTTTCTTTCTCGCTTTTTTTATTTTGCTCATGGAAAAGGGGGCGATGGGAGGAAAAAAAGGAGAGAAAAAGGGAGAAAAAACAAAAATAATCAAAACGTTTCATTGCTTTGGTTTTAGCTTGTCAATGAAAAACAAAACAAAAAGATTTCACAGAAGATTTTTTTTTTAAATAAAGTTTTAATTGTCTACAAAAATCCATTATCAATTTCCAGCCTGCTCTAATATCTAGCTGTCCCCTAACCTTAACAAAATAACCTATTTCTACTGAGAAGCCCAGATAAGGATAGGTAAGTGATTAAAAAGTGCATCATTGAAAACAGTATTTTTAAGCAGGTACAACCCACTATAAGTCCAACAACAGCATAGATTATAGGCCATTCAAGGGGTCCCACTGACGTCAGAAGGATCTCTACCTACTCCAACAAAGCCAACATTTGCTGCCAAGGGGTAAAGTTCCAAAGAGCTATGTAGGAACTTTAGTTGTGTGGTTCCCATTCATTTAAAGAGAATTCATGATGGTGAACACCCAAATGTTGGTTCAAGAGGTGGGGGTTAATGTCAGTAGATGGACTGCGGTAAATGATACAAAACCAGGTGGTAAGTGTTCATTTAGAGATACATTTTTATGTTGGCCTGTAAAGTTCTGCAGTGCAATTTGACAAAGACATAACATAACACAGTAAAACACAACACTTAAAATGTCAAAAAAACCACCATCCTCTGTTCAGCTGTAAGCCCCTAATCTGCTGTGATCTGCTCTGAATTTAATGTGAGGGAATGAAGCAGAGATTAAACATCCGCAGCATTCATTTCTTGGCAGATATTGCAGCTCTCCAGCTATCTAAACTATTTTTATAGTTCTGCATATCTCCCATTTCAAAGCAGCTAAAATTAATTTCTCTTCTGGCTTTTGACAGTGACATTCTGGATTTCCCCATCACTTAGCCAAAGCCAAGTAAACACTTGAAAACTTTTTCTTGCAGACTCAAAATATATTTCATCCCGATTTGAGTAAAAAGGTAACAAGATGCTAAGAAGCTCCAACCACTGGTATCACTGTGGTTTGGAAACTGCCACATGGCTATGGTGGTACCTGTTTAGTGTGAATAACTTTTAGGTACTTACTTGAGAGTCGGCTTGAGAGTTCCGCAGTGAGGGATGTCATTCCACTAGCTCTCCCAGGTGAAATTGGAGTGGCAGGGTGCACTGAGGGCGTGGCGATTGATCCCAAGTATTGGTAGGACTGATCATAGGACCATGGAGGAGATGGCTGTACTTGCCTTGTATCTGCAAAGGAAAAGAAGTATTGAGAGAGAGGTTATTTTTAGCCTCTAAACACCGTGATCAAACATAGGAACTGAACCAAATGGTTTATACAAAAACTTATCATTCGCTTCAATTCACAATTTACTTCAAACATTCCCCTTTGTTAAGACACCTTCAGATGAATCGCTCTTTAAAATGTTATTTGTGCTGCTGTGATTTTTGATCAGTTGAAGCTTTTTGATAATTCACATTGATGGTGGTCAGGGAAAAGCGGATTAAGCTTCCCAAGGTGAAAGTGTCAATGCACAAACTGTTCATGGTTGAGGTACATTAGTATTTCAGTCGTGCAGTGTTGTTGCTGCTGTGCCACAAAAGTAAGACTCACATGTCACTGAGTAGAAGACAGCTATGCTAAATTGTGACAATTTAGACTGGGATTTTCAAAGGATCCTAAGGGAGTTAGGTGCCCAGTTCAAAATGATGTGAGTGTCTAATGCCCTTCGGCTTACTTGAAAATTCCAGTCTTAGTTCTGTGACAATTTATTTTGTTAGAGATAGTGATTACAGTGATTACGGAAGGTCTGTTACTAGAGATGAATGAAACTACTAGAGCCGGATGAACTTCAGAATTAGGAGTTCTTGTGCAAGCCTCTTGGAACTGAAAAATTGGAAGACAGGATGTTTCATGATTTCTGGTGCTTCTAGGTGAAATCTGGAAATGCAAACAGTTTTTTTTAAAATAGAGAAGAAAGTTAACCAATTATTTTTTAGCCTCGGAACTAGTTTGGCTTAAGTATGGGGTCAAAGATTTGTAGCAGGGATGAGGGGCAGTATTTATATTCGTCCAAAGCAGTTTATCCATCGTAGGAACCACCTCTTTTTGCCACGTGAGTGTCCACATCTGGAACTGGCATTTTCCCCATCTGCACAAGCTGCCTTTTTACTTTCAGGAAAAAACACAAAGCAAGAATGGAAATTGTCTCTTTTTTCCACAAATCTGGGGTTTCTCAGTAGTTTTCCCAGCAGTGAGAATTTTCTCCTACCGCTCAAACTGACTAATTGTCTCTTTGAAAGAAGCAAATATCAGAGTGGCAAAAAGCTGATACTATGCACAGAATGGATACCAGCATGGAAAGAAATGTTCTCAAGTTCGAGGTGAAGGACATAGAGCTTCCATAAGAAACTACATTTGGAGGTTTGTTGCGAATTATGGAGATGAGATTTATATTTCGTTTCTTTCATTTGTTTGGAAGTGGAGATTTATCCAAAAGCAGAGTGGAGTAACCTGGCCTTTTTAAAAATTACTTGTAAGGCCACTTGCAGATTAAACCTACTAAATCAGTCTAGTCCCATTGATTTCAATATGTCTATTCACCTGAGTACCAGGATAATTGGATCCTGGAAGGACCAACTCTAGCAGGGAAACTGTATAGTTCAGTCTTCTTGCCCATTCAGTCATTGGTGAATCTGCTGAGACTGCTATCCCAGAAGCCAATTTTTGTTTACCTATTTTATCTGAAGGGTTTTCTAATACCCACACCACTGCAGAAGAAGGTCCCTAGTGAGCTTCCTGGACTCTCTGCTTTTCTTCCTTCCTTGGAGGGAGGAAGCGCCACTTCATTTGTATTTGCTTCTTTTTTCCTTCACCACCATTTCCAGTTATGGTAGGAAAACTATTTCAAAGAGGGAAGGATCTTGTAGCATGCCCTAAAAGTGGTCACACTCTGAATTAGTCTAATCTGCCCTGGAAGTTGGTTTCACAGCGGAACCCCCATGACTCAGCATACTTATCTCCTGCTCTCAGATGCTCTGTCTTGGCCTGTAGGTATTGAAGAAGAGTGAGGAAGGATCTCTACCTATGGGGATTGACATGTGAGTGCCTTTGGGAAGGAGCAGCAGCTACCTCTCATCATTCTCTGGCTCTTCATGGAGAGGAATGATGGGAGGCATTGTCACACCACCTATTCCAGTTATGCCATGTAGATGGGTCAGCACCACCTTCTCACTGATTGTGTCTAAAACTGAAGGAGTCAGCAGTCTGAAGACTGAAATATGAACTCTACCCCTCTTTTAATGCCAGTACAACTGCCACAGTGCTGTGCCCTGGCCAGAAACCCAAGAGTGGTATATTTTGTGATGCAGGCACATGCCCATTAGCAACTGGACAGAGGCTACCAATATATTTGATCTAGCTCATTCAAGATCCACTGTCAATTACTATTGACCTGAGAAGGATTTGAAGCAGTGACCGAGAGATGAAAGGCTCTGTATCCCATTACTAACCCCATAACCCATCTAAGTCTTCATCAAGTAAAAAAAAAAATCTAACTGCCAAAAATCAACCTTATATTTTGTTACTTGAATTCCCAAACACATAATTTTCGTTAGTAGTTGTCCTAGAATGGCTTTAAAAATGAAGAGCTCTGATTGGTTAACAAATTGCATACTATTCAATTATGCTAATGCAGCATAACCACAATATCTGGGTTAGACACTCACTGACCCCATCTGCCTCTTCCTTCAGTCATTTACTACCAAATAAAGCAATGAAAATAGCACTGGAAAATTCTGTAGGTTTGGTGGTGACTTCTGCCACTGTTTCAGTATTTAGGGCTTTGTTCAACTCCCACGAAGGTCAATGGGCGCATTTCCACTGACTTCAAAGGGAGCTGGAAATATTTCTGATATCCTTCTTTCTTTAGGACCCAATGGTGAACTTTCAGTTTATCTTAACTTAAACTGGAACCGCAAACTGCCACAGTTTAAAGAAATACAATTCCCCCCCCGCCAACTCACCATTCTCTTCACAATCAGAGTAAAGATTTAAATGTTTCAAAATGTAGCAACCTGGAGTGGGGAAGTTGGGGTGTGTGTGTGTGTGTGTGTGTGTGTGTGTGTGTGTGTGTGTGTGTGTGTGTGACACAGAGAGAGAAAGTTAAATGTATGAAAACCTGCTTTAAAAAAATCTGAGTTTCTTCCCAAACCACAGTGTCTCCAAAAGAATCTGCAGAGAGAGCTAGAGGTACTCCAGTCTAACTTCAGAGAAAATAATAGGGCCTTTAGGGCCTTTGGGGTCTTAATGCCAAATAGGATTGCAGAATTATTTAAAAGGAGAGCAAAACAGCATGAAGTCAGTGGAGCTGAAGCTGTTTACACATATCTGAGGATCTGGGCCCAATTCTTCCTGCATTTCTTCTATTAGCGTGTACTTTCATTTCTGCTTTTCATCATAGGAGAAAATATATTTTAAAAAATGAAAACAGTTACTAATTGCAATAAAACACTCCAGGGCAATAATTACAGCACAGTAATTCACACCTTGTTGTGTGTCACTAGCTCTTGGGCTCCTGCCTACCAAGCTATTAAGCATGATGTATCGGACCATCTTTCATGCCTCGTCATGTTGTAGTGCCATGAAAAAGTTGTGGTGTTTGGTTTTTTAAAAAACACCCTCATAATTAAACAGTGCCAATGTTGTATACAGTTTAATGATTAATAAAATAAGCTTTGGTAAAAGACTCAGGTAAGAGGGTTAAAATCTCTTTCCTCCCATGTTGCTTCTTGGGGTCTCATATATAGCATTTTTCTAAGGATTGTTGCAGTGGAAAATCAAAGCCTAATTTGCAGAAGGTTGGCATCTTCACAGAATGTTGATAATTCTGCCTTCTGACCTGAGATTTCACTGTCAATGGTTTGTCAACAGGTGGTGCTGGAGAACTTTTTGCATTGCCCCATAATTGTTAGCACATATTCCAGCTAATGTGTGCTTGACACCAAATAATTGCACTACAGAAGTATCATGCCTCAACAGTAGTGATTTTCTAGTACTGTATGACCCATGATTGCAAACGGTAGTAAGGTTGGCTTTGAGCCCACATGCAAAATGCCATGCAACTATCCTAAGAACTGTCTAAGCCATTTATATAATACTTGTAACACTCTTTAGTCCCGTACAAACCACAACACCTCTGGTGCAGTTGCTTTAAGTACAACTGTACTTTGAAAGGTGACTGTGTAAAGGTAGTGCCTTCTTACTTAGCAGATCTGTTCCCTGTGGGTATTCAGTCTCATTTGCTGACTTTAGGGACTTTTTCTCTTTTTTTACTGTTTGTTAGCACTGCAGAACAAGAGTGAGCAAATACCTGCCAGGCAATGGAGTTGCACAGATATAAATCAAGGCCAAATTTGGCCTACAGAACCTTTATTAATGGCGAGGATGCATGAGGAGGCGAGAACTCAGCTTGGCTTCAGAGCCCAAAGTGATTTTGTGGGACAGTCATTAAAAAACTTCCCAAATAGCTTTTTACCTGTAAACTGAGCACACACGACATAGAAATCAGTGAGCCACAACAAACACAGAGCTCCATGATGCCGTTTCTATAGAACCACTTTTCAGAGCAGACTTACACTTCAAAATGCACAGCAAAATAAAGCGAGGTGCTCAGCTGGTGTAAATCAGCACAGTTCCACAGACTTCCCTAGAACTGTGCCAATTTACCCACGCTGAGGATTTGGTCCCTTTGTTGTGGTAGAGGGTGGGGTCTGTTTTATTCACCCACTCATTTCTAAGGTAAAAAATGATTTTACAATCTGAAACTTCTTAATCATTGTGGTGTAAAACTAATTCCTTAAAGAGATTGGAAGTTTTAAGTTTAAGTGGTCAATCAGATATGGAAATCAGATAGCTGGTACCACTGTGCCTATGAGAATGAAGAGAACTTGCTTAATGATTATGTGAATTTCTGTCTTGTCTGTGTTTGGTAGGATACAATCTGCCTTTGGAGCTGGTTTGTGCCACCATAGTACAGAGTGAGACAGCACTCAGTGTGTCATTGCAGATCAGACATTACAGTCTGATCTTAGCCAAGTGGAGCAGTGTGAGCCAAATCTCACTATGACATAGTGTGTTTACTGGAAGCTTCAGCAAGGAGCTGCAGGATGTGAGTCAGTACTTTATGGTGCGAGTCAGGATTGAGAATGATGCATCAGTATTCAGCAAGGTAATAGGTACCCCCTTGACT